AAAATAAACTAAAACAAAAATAATAAAATATCACGACGTTTCGATCGCAACACAAAAATAATCCGGCAGTGGAAATGCTGAACCAGCGAGAGAACTGTTAAAACAAGGTTATATAGAGAACCGTTACAACAAGAGACCCAGCATGTTCTTAGTTCTTTCGCTAAAGTCACGTAGAAGGGAAGTAATAAAATAATAAAAAGAAAACAGAAGGATATAAACTATTATTTAATTATATAATTTTATTTTATTATGTTTTATTTTTATTATTTTATTACTTCCCTTCTACGTGACTTTACCGAAAGAACCAAGAAGATGAATCCCTGCAGTCACGAAAGCTTTAAATCGAAATTTAAGTGGCCATCTCTCTCGAAATGTTGATGCATTGTCGCAATGCGATTCAGAACTTGTTTGTTTTGACATTGTGGTTCACGCAGAGACTCGTTTCGTTCTTTGTGCTCGTTTAACAAGGAACTTCGTCCATCATAGAGGCTTTTTGGGGGGGGGGGGGGTTAGATCGCGTTACGAGATCGAACCCCCAAAAAACACCTCTATCACGGATGATATTGGTCGCGTAAGCCGACATCTTAAAAAGGAACATCGTCTCCAGGGGTCAGGAGGAACCTGCCACGTGTTTTTGTTCTTTCGGTAAAGTCACGTAGAAGGGAAATAATAAAATAATAAAATAAAACATAATAAAATAATTCTCACGACGTTTCGACCACAACGCAAGCAGCCGTCCTCAGGTGAAGAATAGGTCTGTCTTCTCGACCGACCTATTCTTCTCGACAGACCTATTCTTCACCTGAGGACGGCGGCTTGCGTTGTGGCCGAAACGTCGTGAGAATTATTGTGTATTATGTTTTTTTTTATATTTATTATCTCCCTTCTACGTGGACTTTACCGAAAGAACCAGAAGTAGGAATACCTGCAGTAACGAAAGCTTTAAATCGAGACTCTTCCCGTGGACTTTTTTTTTATCGCCGTAGGGGGCGATGTTGCACACTCCACGCAGAAAGGCACTCGACATGCGAATCGAACTCGAGCTCGTCTTGCTATGAGGAAACCGAGTATTAAATTTGACATTTAAAGCCTTTTCGTGACTGCAGGGATTCATCTTATTGTTTATTTAGGTAAATTCAGGAAGACGTATCAAAGACAGACCTGGATTCACTGAGGACGGATTGCTGCGTTGTGGCCGGAAACGTCCGGAGAATTATTTAATAATCTTTTATTGCATTATTTTACTTATTCCTTTCTACCGTGCCACGAGTATGTTTACATACCACTGCGCCCGCCGTGCACTGAAGGGACTGTGGGGGAGATGGGGGGGGGGGTCACGTGAACCCATTACGTACAAATCGAGACTCGTATTTTATCTTCTTGGTTCTTTTGGTAAAGTCACGTAAAAGGGAAATAAAAATAATAAAATAAAACATAATAAATAATTCTCACTCGTATTTTACTTGACCCGCTAAGGGGCCACCCATCCATAGAGTACGTACGCATGGAGGGGAGGGGGGGGTTAACCCAAATGCGTAGCTTGCTTATTAGGGGGTCTACTGACCATGTACGCATAGGAAACGGGGTGGGTGTGAAGCCTCGATAATAATTTGTCTACATTGGCCTTCAAATGAGTTATAGTCCGGCGGTGGACTATCTGTTTGCTTAAACACGTTAATATTATTATGAATCCTTGGTCGTTTTTGCGTGGATTCAATATCGGCCGTTCTATGGGATTCGGGGGGGGGGGGTGGGTGTAAAAAGTACGCGTGCGTACAGGGAGGGGTAGGGGTCAAGTTTTGACAGATGTTGCCTACCTGCTAAGTGGATGGCCCCTACGGCTTCACTGGCTGAGCAGCTCCTTTACAGGGACGGCAGCTGACAGCCAGTGCCCGATTATCCCAGTAGCACAAGTAGCAGCTACACGTGCAGCAGCTACTACACGTGCAGCAGCTACTACACGTGCAGCAGCTACTACACGTGCAGCAGCTACAACACGTGCAGCAGCTACAACACGTGCAGCAGCTACAACACGTGCAGCAGCTACAACACGTGTAGCAGCTACAACACATGTAGCAGCTACACCACATGTAGCAGCTACACCACATGTAGCAGCTACACATGTAGCAGCTACACATGTAGCAGCTATATATGTAGTAGCTACGGGCCCCGCACTTTCAAGGGCCCCGCACTAAATGCTTTCAAGCTATCAATTCCGGTGCAGTGATTCTGCACTTGCTCTATTACTATAGTACTATACCGCCTTCGACTTTTACGAACGACCGGGTGTTTAAGGTTAGCGATTTGTCGTAATATCTGGCTGTATAGCAAATGAAAAAGTCCAATTACTTTATCATGCAAGTAAAACATGTGTGTGTGTTTTAATGTGTTTATTTATTTATTTAGGGCCCCTTTATAACATATGCAACAGGCCCCGCACTAGCATAATCCGGCACAAAAAGAACTTGATAGCTCACAAAATGTCTGCTTATATCAGGTGTCCTCATACAGGGTGCTTTAAAAAAGTCAACACTAATATGGGACTATCGTTTTTAATGGCCAAAGAAACGGATAATGATACACTGTGACATGATAACCATGTTAGTAGCTTCAAAAGGTCAAAGAGTCTCCCACTGGTTCGCCATCATTGTCAACACGTGCCTGGAATCTTTTCCAGGTCATCTCCAGCGCCCGTGGCATTGTTGCAAAACCTCAGAAGTGTTGACATGTTTTTTGAAGCACCACTGCACATTGGAGCCAAGGCATCTCAGCTGTCTCCTCCTGACATTGGCCGTAATGAGCTCACCAAGCCAATGGCGATGAAGCCGAGTTGGATTAGTGTCAGTGTAAGCCACGGAATAGAGGCCTCCGAGAAGCGGTTAGAAGATGGCAACGAAGGCTGAAATCATCACGGCGATCATCCGTCGATGCCAGAATGACGCTGATACGTTGAGCCTGGAAAAAGGCAAACCAAGCACACGTGACCGTTAGTATTCATTGAACACATTCCTCCTGCGGAGGGAGACTGGTAGGAACGTTGGGTTGCTCGCCAATGGCCAGGGTCAACGGCGGCGTGGTGTATTCCGCAATATGGCCGACGTGAGGGCGGGCACAAGCCGGCGTGAGTAGGTAAACGTTGAGTTTTATAAGGGCACCACGGGGTGACCAGCCCCTCTCCTCCCACCCAGCCCCACCCCTCCCACCCCCCACTCAGCCCCTCCCCACCAGCCCCTCCCCACCACTCCCACACCCAGCCCCTCCCCACCCCTCCCCTCCCCACCCAGCCCCTCCCTCCCCACCCCAGCCCCTCCCTTCACGACGGACGGACACAATAATCCCCTGTGGGCTGGTGGAACCAGTGGGTCCTAACAGTATTAATGGTGTCCATACTGCATACGTCCTCGAGATTAGCTTTGGATTTTGAATTCTGCTGATTTTGTTTTTTCTCTCGCAATGACATCGAATCTTTTTTTTTGTCTCTGAAAGTTTGCATAATGTGCTCATGTAAAATGTCTTGATGCTCAAAAATAAAATAGGTGATAATACGTGATGCTACATTTGGTGGGAAATGAGGTGGCTTCACGTCCGGTTTCTGATAAATCTGAATGTGTTTCTTCAGATAATCCACATTTTTCCGATGTTTCAAATGAATCCAATAAATATATTTTTTTGTGGACTTCTGGATTTTGGGCAACATTTAAAATTTTATTTCAGCTTTTAGTGTTTTTTATTTACGTTAATTAAATGGTAGTGACGTTTTGCTGTTCATGCACTAAATGTAATAATTTTAACAGTCAAACGATCATTTCAATTTCAGAATTCTTTACATCGTAAACAATGTGAGAACGGTGAAATCACGTGACGGCCCTCTTGGGTGAGAAGTTGTGGAAGTGATACCGTGGAATTGACATCACTTCCATTTGCGGATCAATAAAATAAATTTGAGGATCAGTTAAACTTTAGCATCAACCCTGGATTTACTTTATTTAAAAGAGTCATCTGAAAATCGGGAATACTTCCTCACTCCACTTCTAGGTAAGTGCCTCCTGCACACTCAGCGGCTGTGATTTTAAAATAATAAAAAAATTAACCCGTAAAAACAAAGTTTTTCACTATAAACCCTTTATATGCATGGCGGCTAGAGTCCTCTCGTCCTCTGGCTTGAGATGGCTGCCACCTATGGGTCAGATGATTGTCTGCCAGCATTAAGCAATTGGTAATTAAATATTAAAAAAATTTCCCCTAAACAGTGTAAAAATTTTGACATTTTTTTTTTCACTAAAATTAATTGTCACGTACAACGAGTCTGTGTGGAAAATGTCAGCTCGATTGGATCACGGGAAATGGGTTAAAAAACGACCGAAAGATTTGCACGGTCGTAAGCAAGCAAGCAAGCACGCAAGCACGTAAGCGAACTTAATATAAAGGATTTAAATAAGACCCTTGGGGCACCGTGCCACCAGGACACACACCTCCACTGGCGAGAGCCTCTTCTCCTGGCCAACACCTGCAGCTCCTACCCTCCCATATGTTATCCATCCCATGTGTTATCCATTTCCCCCCACCCCTCGTGTGTTCATTAAAACAATTAAGCTAATCCTGTAAAATCCCAACAGCGAGCTCTGTAAATCATCAGAATGGAGGGTCACACCAAATACCCTTATTTCAGGTGCTACTGGGACCGAGGGCTACATTAGAACACTGGGTTAAAAAGAGAACTGGCCACCAAGAATAAGTTTGACGCTTGGTGACAAGAACATCAAGAATGAGCCTCTGTTTGGTAGGAATAAAATTGTATTTCCCCCACTGCACATAAAACTTGGGTTAATGAAGCAATTCGTCAAAGCTCTTGATCACACTGGAGACTGCTTCAGCTGTATATGTTCAACCTTTTCAAGTCTCAGTGCCGAGAAGAAAAAGGCAGGAATATTTGATGGCCCTCAAATAAGAACACTCATCAGGGATCCACACTTTGTTACAACAATGACTGCGGCAGAGGGCTAGCACTTGGAATGCATTCTCTGATGTGGTGCGGAATTTTCTTCGGGAACAGGAAAGCGGACAACTATCGAGAGATTATGGAGGAGCTGCTCTTGAGTTTCCAAGCACTTGGATGTAGAATGAGCATCGAGGTTCACTACTTACATAGTCACGTGGCCCAGTTTCCAGAGAACATGGGTCACGTGAGCGAAGAGCAAACTGAACGCTTTCATCAAGACATCAAAGTTATGGAAGAACGTTACCAAGGCCGATGGGACTCTAACATGATTGCAGATTACTGCTGGTCCTTGATGAGAGACATTCCACAAGCTGTACATCGGAGATCGTCAAAGAAGAGGTCGTTTATGCAGATGTAACATCACTATTGTGAATGACCTTTTTGTACATATTTTTCTTATCTTCACAATTAAATTCTTGCATGGTAATATGCATTCACTCACATTGATATGCAGTCACTCTCACAACTTTGTGCTACGGCTCATTAAACGTTTGTCTCATTATTATTGTATATTGTATCTTATCTTATTATTGTATGGATGTCTGTTTAGCTATTCGTATATGAGCATAAATTTGCAGTTTTTATTGAAAATGCAATATTTGACATCTCAAAAACCTGATGTGATAGACAAAACCCGATGCCAGATTTGGAATCAGCACCCCAAAATTACCTTAAAACCGTTGGAATACCTTATGCCAGAAAAAGTGTGTTCACCAGTATAATTATTGTTGATGTGTACCCACGATTCGTAAATGTGGACATACAAAGCCCCCACCCCCCACCCCACACAATGTATCTTACCAAGCGCGGTGAGAGTGGCGGCTGCCCAGAAGAGGTCTCCGAAGACTGCCGGGATGAAGAAGATTGACCCCATCCACTTTCCGTACTTGATTTGAAAGGGGTCAATCATCGTGATGTAGGTGCGTGAGCGCATGGGCTTTGCGAAGAAGAGCGCGGCTGTGTGGGTGCGTCACAATGACAAAGAATGCAACATGGAGGGGGTCAGGGGGGGGGGGTCATTCAGTTATCGCTCTCCCACTCTCCGTCTCTCGCTCTGTCAACGATCTTCTTTCATTTTGGTCACGTCACCTTGATTTGTCATCACGGGATTTTGAACTCGTGAGCTTCAATTGAAACCAGTTTTGGATAGCAACGTAATAATAATAATCATAATGCACACCCGTGAGTTCAAGTCAAAGTGATTTCTTGCTCATGTGAGCGTTGAGCTGGTGCCCATGTCCAGTTTGTACAGAGCCCCTGAGCTTAGGGGTGGGAATTCCTACTCTTAGTTCTTTCGGTAAAGTCACGTAGGTAAAAAAAAAATGAAATTAAAATTAATAAAAATAAAATAATAAAATATGAAACGTCGTGATTTAATTGTTTGATTTTTATTAATTTGAATTTCAGTTTTTTTATGTAACTTTACCGAAAGAACTAAGAGTATGAATCCTTGTGGAAATTCCTCTTCATATGGCGGGGGTGAGTCTATCCATGGGGCTCACCATTGTTGTCTTTCCCGCAAAGCGGTACTCACTTTAGCAACCCCCGCAGAAATGATGGGCCGAGTCGATTCCCAACCAGGAATGTGAATTCGCAAACCTTCCAGTTTCATACGCGCGGGTTGCGTTTTACTTTGTAGCAGTGGCTCTTAACGTGCTGGTTGCACGCTCGCTCTGGGGGTTCAAGTTTTTCAAGTTTCATTTTATTAGGTATAGCCCTGTGAGCCATTCGGCTCTTGAAACGGGTGCAACCGCAACAAACAAAAAAAACTAAAACATGAACAAGAAAACATCTACTATGTGCAAACAGAAAATCCAAGAAAAAACAGCAAAATATTGCAGAAAAAGCACCGTACACCAACGCTGTGTGCAAAAATCCCAGTGGGATGCAAGTCAAACAACAACCACAAGACAACTTAGATTAAGATTAAGGGTGCATTACACCACCGCCTGGGGCTGCGAGATGCCCTTTCTGGGGGTGCGAGACGTGGCCAGATTTTTTTTTTATTTTAGAAGATAAATCATCGACAACACAAATGGAGCATGGGCACCTAAGTTACAACTTACTTTTGATTTGAAGCTTTCGTGACTGCATGAATCCATACATACCCTTTGGTTCTTTCGGTAAAGTCACGTAGGTAGAAAAAAATATGTACAACTTACTTTGTTTCATGAAACCTATACGGGGTGTTTAAAAAAGAAACATGTGAACACTTCTGAGAATTTGCAACGACACCACGAGAGATGCGCTGCCTTCGGGCTCTGGAGACCACCTGGAGAAGATTCCAGGCCACGTGCTTTGACAATGATGGCGAGACTCTTTGACTTCGTGAAGCTATTAACGTCACATTTACAGTGTATCATTATCCGTTCTTATTTGTTTTTAACGATTGAGAATCAAAGGGGCACAACGCTTGCAGTGAAGGTTAAGCATCGCTGCTCTATAGCCTGCGTTTGTTTGTATTCGATGGCGAAATGTGGTGGATCAAGTGAACCCCTCCCTCACTTGATGCAGCTAATCTGGCTGTGACGGTCCCACCTGATGACGGAGACTTGTGTTGCCTCCGAAACGTCGTGATTTTCATTGTTTTATTTTTTATTAAATTTTATTTCATTTTTTACCTACGTGGTGACTTTACCGAAAGAACTAAGAGTATGAGTCCTTGCAGTCACGAAAGCTTGAGATCTAGAAGAAATGTGGTGGGGCTTGGTGCACTGTGATGGACATGTGTAATCTCTGGTAAACGATCTCGAAACAATTACGAAATGCCCTGAATTAAGCTGATGATGGCATCATCGTGATATGATGTCGATAAGAAAATGCTTGTGTCATCATATACATCAGTCCCTTTGGTCTGTGTGAAAAAAATAAAGATGTTTTACGGTAATTCGAAGGAATATTGCGGTTAAATTGTAAGGGTCTCGCTAATAATAATAATCATGCAATTTGTAGTGCACGATAGTTCACGGACATAAATTACCACGAACTGAGACGTGGAGCCAAGCTCAGAGTTGTTCGAATGTCAGGCGAAAGAGGTGGGCCTTTAAGAAAGAGGTGGGCCTTTAAGAAAGAGGTGGGCCTTTAAGAAGAAAGAGGTGGGCCTTTAAGAAAGAGGTGGGCCTTTAAGAAGAAAGAGGTGGGCCTTTAAGAAAGAGGTGGGCCTTTAAGAAAGAGGTGGGCCTTTAAGAAGAAAGAGGTGGGCCTTTTAAGTGTCTCTTCAAAAGCCCAGTGGAGATCGATTGCTGATACAAAATCTGTGGCTCGGTGGTGGCCGCGTTTCAGACGGCGATGGGGTGGGAGGGGGACCGCCGCAAAGAGACGTCGCCTGGCAGCGGCGGTCCCCTTGGTCCTTGATGTAGGGAGGAGGAGGATGGATGAGGATGGAGGAGGATGGATGATGAGGAGGAGGAGGATGGATGAGGAGGAGGAGGAGGATGGAAAAGGAGGTTTTTTTTTTTAGTCTCGCCGCGGAGTATTTCGACCGTGAGCTGCCATGCAGGATGACGGGGTAAAGAACCCGGCGGACAATCGGAGAGTTGAAGACTAAATAAGTAGCGGTTCGAACAAATAGCGCACGAGAAGAGGGACTGGAGGAAGGAACAGCGAGCGAAGGAACGAGGGAGAAGAGGATCAGAGAAGGAAGAATAAGATGGAGAGGGAGAAGGGAACGAACAGCTGAAGGCGAAGGACGGACAGTGAAAGCAGCCGGCTTGAACAGCCTCTGATAATGCACGTTTTGTGTTGAAGGTTGAACGAGTTGTAGGGAAATAGCTCCTGACTAAGAGGCATTGTTCAATTTCCCTGCCCCAGCCATCCACCCCCACGAGCCATACCCAAAGAATAGGATACCGTAGTCCACGTGGCCTTCAGAGAATTTGGAGGACGAATCAATTGAGAGGCACAAAAACTTCCCCGGAGCACCGATCGTAGGGCATCGTGAAATTGACTTCTGGCAAATTTGATTTGAAACTTTCGTGACTGCATGAATTACTCTGTGGTTCTTTCGGTAAAGTCTATGTCGTGTGTCTCTCTCTCTCTCTGTGTCTCCGTGTCTGTGTTTTGTCTTTCAAATTTATTTATTTCCGTTCTACGTGACTTTACCGAAAGAACCAAAGAGTGGCTTCTGGCAGCTCCTCCTAATCTGTCGACAGCCGGAACTAAGAGATATCAACGCAACGAGGCCGTGCTTATTGTGGCATTCATCCGACGGGAATGCAGATCGAGTTCGCGTGCCGCTTTGCGTTTGAACAACCGCTTTTTGGCGCTTATTTGAGCAGTGGGAATCGCATCGACTGTTGCCAAGAAACATCATCTGTGGCGTTCACAGCAGCGTTGTGTTTGACAAGCCAGACGCAGAAGGTCCGATGTCAGTCCAGAGTTTTGTTGTTGTTGTTGTTGTTGCTGCTGAAACAAATTGCTGCTCGATAATTGCCTTTGCAAGCTAACATGCCGATGGCCTAATCACATGATTGATTGTCATATGTAGTATTCTGCTTTTAAAAAAAAAGTTCGTTTTCACGCGTGGCGGTTAAAATGTATTATTTGTAATTGTATTTTCACCACATTCCAACATTACAATCCCGCCGATTCACCTTGCTGGGTTACTGTGGGGAGTGCTATTAGGGGCCGAAACTCGACCTTCTACCCCTCCCCCCAACCTGCCCCCCACCACCTCCTTCCACCCCTCCCCCATCCCACCGGGCCCCCCACAGCCACGGCCCAGAAGAACAGGCTCGGAGGGAGGATTTGGGGATTGTGTTGGTCCAAGGGCTGGGGAAACCCTGGGGAAGAGTGGATGCTCACCAGGTGAGGCAGCCGCGTCTCGATCCGGTGATTCTCCACCAAACTTGACCCCTCCCCTCCCCCCGCCTTGTTGAATATTGTTCCAGCCAAGCCCCCCCCCCTACCGCCCCTCTCCCCCTTGCCTGACTCTGGGGCCGTCCATAAATGACGTCACGCGATTTTGGACGATTTTTGACCCCCCCCTACTCGTCACACGGCGTCACAAAAAGTCAGACCCCCCCCCCTCAAATATGACGTCACAAAGCTCTGCCCCCCCCCCCCAAAAACTAAAACATGCTTCAAATCGCTTTAAACTATTGTCATTGAAGTGCGTATTTAATGTGGCGCTGCGCTCTGATATTGTAGGAGGAAACATTTTTAAAAACGTCTATTTAATTAAGTAGAACGTGTTGTCTATATTTATTTAAAGTTGCGCATTTTGATGTGACGTCACATTTCTCAACCCCCCCCCCCCTCGTCACACATCGTCACAAATGTCTGAACCCCCCCCCCCCCCCCCCCAGGTGCGTGACGTCATTTATGGACGGCTCCTTTTGCGATGGTTCTGAGAAACGAACGACGCACGAAATAACGGAACGGACATTTTTGGGTTTTTTTTTTTCTCACCATTTGTCCGTTTACGTGAGGTTAGCCCGACCGGCTCGTAACGGCAAGCGGGTAACGACAACAACAACAAACAAACAACAACAACATTCAATAGACGCCTACGCACGTGCCACTTCATTTGTTCGCGCTCGCTGGATACTCTTGAGAACCACATTGTTCGCGATCAATGAGTTTAGAAAGGACTTATTACATCGTTTAAGGTTAGGGACCGTCCATAAATGACGTCACGCACCTAGGGGGGGGGGTCAGACATTTGTGACGATGTGTGACGAGGGGGGGGGGGGGTTTGAGAAATGTGACGTCACATCAAAATGCGCAACTTTAAATTAATATAGACAACACGTTCTACTTAATGAAGCAGACTTTTTAATAAATGTTTTCTCCTACAACATCAGAGTGGGGGGGGGCAGAGCTTTGTGACGTCATATTTGAGGGGGGGGTCTGACTTTTTGTGACGCTGTGTGACGAGGGGGGGGGGGGTCAAAAATCGTCCAAAATCGCGTGACGTCATTTATGGACGGCCCCTTAGCCTACGGATTTCAATGTTGTTGTTGTTGTTGTTTTGTATTGCATTCAAGTGTGCCGCGTCGAGACGCATAAACGATTCTTAACGGCGGTGATTGTTGTTAATCACTCGTGGAGTTTTTTTATGCAAATTTTATTCCACCCCCATGTCTTTTTGGTTCTTTCGGTAAAGTCACGTAGAATGGAAATAATAAAATAATAAAACACATAATAAAATACAATTCTCACGACGTTTCGGCCACAACGCAAGCAGCCGTCCTCAGGTGAAGACCAGGTCTGTCGATAAGACTCTGATAAGACTCTGTCTTCTCGACAGACCTCTTCTTCACCTGAGGACGGCTGCTTGCGTTGTGGCCGAAACGTCGTGAGAATTATTTTATTATGTTTTATTTTTATTATTTTATTATTTCTATTCTACGTGACTTTACCAAAAGAACCAAGAAGATGAGGATGTTATTATTATTTAATAATAAAAATAAAACATAACAATATTTTATTATGTTTTATTTTTATTATTTCCCTTCTACGTGACTTTACCGAAAGAACCAAGAAGATGAATCCATGCAGTCACGAAAGCTTTAAATCGAAACACCGCCCATGTGTTTGAGAATGGCCCCGCGAAAGAAGCAGACATCGCAGAACTACTGCCGGGATCCCATAGATCCATCCCTACTAGTAGAGACACGTACATTGCAAGGCAGCCAACATTATATTCTCAATTCTCAGAGGTGGATTTTTTTTAACGGATGAAGTGACACATTTTTCGAGAGGTCTGCCATTACTTTTGGCGATGAACGGTAGAGATTTGTCCTTGGTGCAAGTGCGTGCTTTCATACCGACAAATAGGCTGACAGCACTGCCGATGGGAGCCTGCATCCACGCTAAGCCCATTCCGGGCGTATATATGACCTCCGCCGTGCCGTTGATGTAAGCCCCTCCAACCCACGTGGCTACAGATATAAGAAGGGGGGAGGGGGGGACACACACACACGACATGACACCAAGGCTATGTGCTCACAAACTTAAAAACGGCAATGTACCGTCTGTGCGATGTGTGTGTGTGCGTGGTGTGCGTGCGTTTGCATGTAGATGGGGAGCGGTGGCGCAGTTCGATTCCCGTTTGATGATCTGAATCGATCCTGCCCCCCCCCCCTGGGTCGACTCGGCCTCAAATGAGTACCTGGTGCGGTGTGTAAGCATCACCACTGAGGAGACAAAGGCGGCTGGGCGTGGTGCTGGCCACCCCACCCCCCTCGTGCGCCGTTGCGGCCTTCATAGGTGCTACCCGCTGAACAGCACTTACCCCAACAGTCTTTTCAGGCTATACGGGCGAACTTTGGCTTTGGCGTGAGTCTGCGAGTATTTTTCTTTTTTGACCAAATACCACGGTGGAAACACCCAATTAAGCTTGTGCCGGAGGCACCAAGAGGGGGAACAGGCGTTCATGACGCCTTCGAGCCAAAGCCCCATTTGGCGGAGCCAGTTCGAACCCCTCCCAGTCAGAATTCTTCCAGAAACAGAAAACGACTGTGGCTGGCCACGTGGGATGTCCGGACGCTCAATGTCGAGTTAAAGCTGCCAATCGTCTGCCGGGAGATGGACCGGTACCGCCTGGACCTGGCGACCCATCCCCTTCGTGCGCCGTCGTGGGCCTTCGCAGCAGAGGTCGCAACCGGGTACCCGATACCCGTACCATACCCGATACCCGGCTACCCGTACCCGGCCGGATACGGGTACCCGTTTGCGACCCTGGTGCGGCTGGGTACGGGTACGGGTAGACCGTGAGTCACTGGTGAGTAACTGTTTGTCACTCATTTCCCAACGTCTTGTCTCTTCTCACAATTCAAGTTCCTAGAATCAACCCACCCGCGCCTGCAACATGGCTTCATCCCAGAGGTCGCAATCAGGTACCCGATACCCGGCTGGGTACGGGTAGGGTACGGGTACGGCCGGGTACGGGTACCCGTTTGCGACCCTGGTGCGGCCGGGTACGGGTAAGGAATCAAAACCCGTTTGCGACCTCTGCTTCGCAGGTGCTGCCCGCTCACAGCAATTGCCCCAATAAGGTCTGTCAAGGCCACACACACGCACGGGGGAATCTTTGTCTTTGCACGGCACACCTGTGGTCGTGAAGATCCCGACGATTACGTTCATTTTGCGGTCCCCAACCATGGCCATCTCGCTCCGCGTGCTTTTGGATCGCTTCTCCGTCTTTCTGGACTTCCGCGATGCCCACACGCCCGTCGCCAGGATGGCGATGTAAAACACGATGACCGCCACCAAACCGCCGACGTTCGTTGCCATTGTGATCGCTTCTCAGTGGAGGTCCTCCGATTCGAGTTTGCTCTGAGGAGGCGCACGCAGAGAGGGAGACGACGAGACAGTTAACGGAGGGAGGAAACACAACGCGCGATAATGGGATGTCACATTGAGATACAAAAAAAATTGCAATTGTTTCATGGATTGCATCACGCCAATGCTATCCAGGGTTTTATATCGTTCAACTATTTAAAGTTTTTACCAGGTAAGGCCGACTGAGCTTTCTAGCTATTTTTCAGAAGCGACCTGGCCAGAAATGGTAGCCCAACGAAGTGGCTTATCGAGTCGAAATGCATAACAGCTAAATACTCTAAACGCGTGATGTTGATTCTAAACGTGGAGTGAAAAACCAGAAGACCTGGAGAAAAATCCACGTGACCACGGGGAGAGAGAGAGAGAGAGACACCGCAAACTCCAAATATACAGCAGCAGGTGTCAGGGTCTGGATCGAACCCACGACCCCCTGCATACCAGGCGAGGTAGTTAACATCTCCTATTCATAATACAGGGTTTTGGGTCAGATCGCGTTATTTATAAATGTGTCGTAACCCTCCACCACCCGACACGGCCAAACAGTAAAAAATGTGTCACGTTTTCAAAGGACAAAATAATTCACTTCTTTAGCCCACCGGTGTGCTGAAGAGAGAATCAACAGCATTTTAAAATTTGAGTAGTACGACGTTTCGCTGATAATTACAATCAGCTTCATCGGGCAAGAATGGTGAAGCTCTCCTGTTGCTTCCGGTCTTAAATAGAGCAGCAGCAGGGTGACGTCATCATTTAATTCAATTAAATCTGGTGCAGTGATTCGAGGCAAGGAGGGGGGGGGTATTGTAATTATATAGATTGGTAATCATTCAATTGTTATTCATTGGTATTTGTTTCCCTTATTAGGAATTGTAATTGTATTTATTTGATAATACGCTTCCAGGCCGCACTAAGCGTGTAGCTGTCAGAGCGATTAAAGTTATTTCTGTTTCTCTCAATTTCAATGGATTCTCTAATTGGTCTTGGCCAGTAATAATTAGTTTTACACAACACTTCAACGTTATCAAAATCAATTGAGTGTCCTTGTTGACAAGCATGCTCTGCCACTGCCGACAGTTGTGTTTGAGAAAATTTAATGTTTCTTTGGTGTTCTTTTAGTCTTACTGTTGTATATGTTGGGTATGAAAATTTGTTATGTTGTATGCGTGCGTGGGTGAAATTATTATGTTGTATGTGTGGGTTATGAATATTCAGTGGAAATAATAATAATTAATGAAATTTGGCCAAATGTGTAATTATCCGGAAATATGTTAATTTATGTAATTACGCACATTTTAATTATGCCATTTCGAGAGGTAATCGTATTAATTATGCGAGTGGGTGTAATTATGATAACGCAAGTCGTTATGATAACCAGACCCCGGTTCACCCCGTTATCGCTTTAACATTTACTGAGTATGTATTAGTGTGTTTATTAAGGTCACCAAGTTCAAATCTCAACGCAGAAGCAGATCTTATGCATAGATTTCAGGAAAGAATCACACAACCACTTCTGTATTGATCAATTTATTACTAATTCAACCTTAACTATGATATAGTATGCGAACTCTCAATCCCGGAACGTCAATACGGCATCAATACAGTATCATCAACGATTGTCTGATTTCACTTTGACAACGGCACATGGATCCCGCATAACGCGATGGTTGTTAGTGAGAGAGAGAGTCGTTAAAACATGCAAATACTATGCTAAGAAAACCTTAACGTTAATGAATGATTATACTCAATATTGTTCACGCAGTACCGCACTCCTTATTGATCATACGCAACCCTTATCACGTTGTTAACACCTTGGGTCACGGAACAGTTGAATATTCTGTAGAGGATGCGAGTACGTGCGGCGATTATGACTGAAAGATACTTGAAAGATTATACGGCGATAAACAAAAACACAATCAAAACAGTTATTATTCTTAAAGGCACCAATCTCAACAGATACATCGGCAGGTTATCTCAGAACGGCTCGGAGTAAGGGCCTGCGATGGTGCTCCTTTTCCGAAGATCGTTATCTTATACCAAGTTTACTAATTGGGGACCAGATCACCTGATAAGGGTCCGGTGGGCCACCACTCCCCACGTGAGCGTGGCTCGGCGGAAGGAGGTGCCAAGAATCAGTTCGTATTGATGGATCTGTTGGGAATTTATGCGATTAAGAGTACAGCCCACTAAATATTAAAGATAAAAATTAAGAATACTCTTATAAACGACGGATGGCCACCACTCGGTCTCGTTGTGATGCTTTCCAGCCACGGATGGCTTATGGGTTCGAGTGTGTTTGAGTGGTAAGAGTTGTCTTGAATAGTCAGTGTTCGGAGTCGATTCTTTAGGTCAAACAGACGCCTGGTGGTCGTGTGGTGAGGGGGCGGTGCGCGTCATACGTATCCATCGCTCCCCTGTCGGATGGCTGTTGATACGCTGTCGCAGTTCGGAACCCGGTCGGTAGGTGGCGCCCACAACTCGCTCGTAGCGTGCAGCGCTGGATCGTCGCCAAGTCGCGACGCTCACCACCGGCGGCAGCGGAGATCTCCGGCGGCAGCAGAGATTGACGAGCTGAAGATGAGTCGAGCCGACCCGCTGGTCGCAGCTCGCTCCTGAGTCGACCCTCCCGGTCGAGCTCGCTCCTGGGTCGACCCGCTGGTCGCCCTCGCTCCTGAGTCGACTCTCTGGTCGCACTCCTGAGTGGACCCGCTCTGGTCGCACTCGTTCCTGAGTCGACCCTCCCGGTCGAGCTTCTGAGTGGACCCTCCCGTCGCACTCCTGCTGAGTCGACCCTCCCGGTCGAGCTTCTGAGTGGACCCTCCCGTCGCACTGGTTTCCAATGTTCAGGATCCGTTCCTTTATGCTGAAAAATCCCCCTGGATCCCGCCCACAAGGCGGGGCTTCCGATTTTTGCTGTGTCAGGATCTGTCCGTAGGCAGGTGTGTCCGTATGTCCTTGTGTGCATCACTGACGGTATATTCCGTTGTCAACTCCCTCCATAAAACCCACGAGCAAACAACCAGATGTTACAAATTGTCTCGAAGTCGTCTCTCTGTCTGGGTGCAATTTATCTCTTGTCTGGCCTTCTTCATGAACCCAAAACACAGACGTTACAAATCGTCTCATAGGCGTCTTTGTTCGTGTTGCACAACCTGGAGGGGGGCAACACTCTCTCCGACCCGGCGCACAAAGAAATGGTTAAAAGTTTTAAGTTAACATTTGTCCCTTACTATTTCACAGTTATGATTCTGTATGTAACCTAAGGTCTGTCGTTTCCCATCGTGGTGCTTGACTCAAGTGTAGGTTTCCCCGAGCGTATACACACTCCTATCCCGCGCTGCGGGGATACAAAGACGGCCGGGATCTCCCTTTCTCTCCGACCCTGGGTTTAACATTGTTTTTTTTTTATTATGTATTTATATTTGACCTGGTGGTGATTCATCCCGTTATCCTGGCTTTTCCATAAGTTTAACTTTTGTCTTTCATGCATATACTTATTACTATTAATTTATTTCCGATATCTTAGGTTAAGGGGTAAGTTTCTTGATCCTAGGAATTCGTATTCCTTGGTGCCTGGATGGTTATATAAGCGGAATATAGTTTACGGTGAATAGCGTTAACATTGATGTTATGTGCGATATTATGTATTGTGATGTCTTTAACTTAACTTGTTTGTCAGGGCTTTACTGACACGAAGTTGCATTCCATAGCCTGCAGTCTTTGCCCCACCCTATCTCTGCTCGCCGTTGTTGTTGCCTGCCGTTAATTCAAGGCCTCATTAATTTCCGTCACCCCTGAGTAGGTGAGGGCGGTTGAACCTTGGAGTCAGTTCTGGTTTTTGTCTGCCTGCTTCTTCTTGTGTCCCCTGACCCCGGGAGTTATTATTCTACTTTATGGCCTGTCGAAGCCCCACTCGCTGTTGCTGGGCTGGTGTTGTTCCCGGCTTTTTGCTTACGTTTGCAGTTCGCCGTGCTCTTGATTTCCTTCCCTCTTCAACCTTATATTGACTATTCGCTCCTGTCTGGGTGCGATTCAATTTTGACTTAGGAAGGTTCTGATTGTCATATGCTTCGGGTCGAATTGTATAGAAAGTATTGAAGTATGGAAATAACATTTCATATTGACTTAATGATGGTGATGGTTCAGTAGGCGTAACTTGTGACCTGGTTTAATTGGAGTGGGTGTGAATATCAATAACTTTAGCCTACTCTGTTGTTAAATTCCGACTTTAACGTTACTTTAATAGCAATACAGAATAATTGAGCTTTTTGTCTTAACTAGGCGAATGCGAACTTCTGGTGACCCCCGCAGCCGTGTTGTTCAGCTGGGTCTTGTGCCTTGAGAGATATACAACCCTCTTTTAAATCACCTCTCCCCCTGCCAACCTTCTGCTCTGGGAGTGTTTATTCTTGATTCCAGGTCCAAGGCCCCCTCACATCCAGACGCGCAGGGTTGTTTACATCAGCTCCCCCCCTGTGCACGTGTTCTAACTAGCTCGGAATTCCTGAACACACAATCAGTGATGATTCCTGGTTTTCTGTGGTTGTGATTTAGACAAAGGCGCCTCTGTTTTCTTCCATTGCCTTTGAGTCGACACTGCCCTATTATTTGCCCATGTGCTGAGGTCATAGAATTCGTTTTGACTTCAGTAATATTAACATTCAGTATTGGATTAGCAAATGGGCAATGGTTCATTGATGTAGCTCGCAGCCTGGTCTCCAATTTGAGCGAGCGCGAGGATCGATAATTTAGCCTACTCTGTTGTTGAATTTCGAATTTTGACGTTACTTTAAAACCATGCAGGATGATTGGGCTTTTGCCTTAACTATGTCTGGCTGACACTCCCACTGTCTCTGCCGCCTGCACGGGTGACATGTGCCCGTTCATCAGGCCTTATCTTCCCTTGAAGCAACGTTGTAAATTCTGCCATCCTAGCCCTCCTCCGGTTCATTACTTAACAACACCTGGTGTTTTGCAGTTTGCTGCGCTTGGTGTGTTTC